AACAATGTACACCAGTAAAGCTAGAGTAAAATAATAAAAACATACTTTAGAGTAGAACTGCCCCATAGGGTTTTCTAGGCTGTAATCTTTACAGGAGCAGATTGCCAGGTCTTTCTCTCATGGAAACACTGGATGGGTTCAGACCACCAACCTTTTGGTTGGCAGCTGAGTGCTGCAATGTTGCACTGCCAGGGCCCCTTATATTTAGATCTATATGAGTCTAAATTGTGACTCCTGTTGTGCTCGACTTTGTAGGTTTGTTTCAAATGCAGACACCGCAAATCCTGATTTGGACCCCCATAAACCCATGCAGCCTGGCACCGCTAACCTATTAAAACCCCCATCATTGTTTCTCTTTTGATTGTGTAGTCCCATGTACATCATCTCTTGGTTTTTCTTTTTTAGGCCAAGATTAAGATGATTATTTTTTCATGCCAAATTGATCTGTATTGACCCTTTACAAAAATAATAAATGGCATGCCTTCATCATAAGAGTTTTTGTTATATAAACTGCTAACAGACATTTAGGCTGTAAGTACAAAGTTTACACTGAGAACAAGTTGATTGAAAATATTTATTTACATATGTGTAGAATACATATGTAATGTGAGTGTGAGTTGGAATGTCATGGGCCTAGCACAGTGAATAAAAATATAAATGCTATCGACATTTAGCAAATAAATAGAAAGGATTATAGTGGATAGTAAAAAGTCACTGTCAGTGATGATACCCTGAAACATTCTTTAACTCTTTTTCTCAAAAATATAAGGCATCAAGGATTAATCTTTCTTTAATCTGGTAAATTATGTCTGCTTCCAAAATAATGCCTGATTTCAAACTTAAAACAACAGTTTTTAAATTCTGGTTTGACAAAAAACAATAGCAATACCCAGTAAAACATTTGAATATTTCTTCTAGTACATAAAATTTCCCCTTTGGTTTCCATTTGCTCTTTTTATTTTCTTTACCCAAATGGTCATGGCAAATGTAGTAACTGCTGGTTTGCGTGTATCCCTTAAGATACAAGATTATCTTTGCAGAATAAATGAATATTACCAAAACGAACCTCATTTTTTTTCAAAAATCAAATGTTTAAGGGTTACTCATGGCTGAAACTTGAATAACATGTCTTCCTTGAATTGCACGTTTTACTAATCATGTTTCGTAACTTTTTAAATCAAAATACTATCACTTAGGACAAAATAACATAAGTGGTTTATTCAATGTCATTCAAATAGCTTCCAATTTTAAAAATGTATTTCTTTTTTTAATTCGAAATATGCATTGAAAAATCTATCGCTACTGGAAAGGATTCTTTCAAAGTAAAGGATTCTTGTTATAAAAAGATCTGCTCATGTGACATATATCTTGAGGAAGACATGCTTATTTTTAAGTAAAAAACTGAAAGATGAACTACTCTATACCCTGAATATTCACTAATAAGTTGACTTTTCCCCACACAATTTATAATTTCCACTGAGCAATATGATTAAGTAGAATAAGAAAAATCATAAAATGTACCTATCTCTTTTTTTCTCTCTCTCTTCCTGCCCTCAAAAGACCTTCATTCTCCTATGTTTATTTGATCAGTACTTCTAAATGCCCGGGACATTTTCAAGCCTTACGCTCACATGCCACTGACTAATAATTTTTTAGCAACCTATGCTTCTCCCTACCAAACTCTGACCAGAAAAATCCCCTCTAAACCTTGCAAGACTATTCTGACAGACAGCCCATCTCGGCTAATCTGTTACAAGAGAAAAATAAACAATAATTTGTCTTACTGTGGTTTTCAGCCAAGAGAAAGATAACGTGCCATTACCTAATATCATCTTGATATATGAAGGGAAAAGCTCTTACCTTCATTTTAGTATTTATTCGTGATAAAATTGAAGACTTGACACACCAAAAAAATAAACAAGCAAAAAAAACAGTTAACTTGCCTAAAGTTATACTGCTAGACTGTGGCAAAGCCAGATTCCGAACCTAAGACACAGCCCAGATGCTCATTCCATGGTGCTTTCGAAAGACTATTTGTTCTTTCTTCTCCCTTTTTCCATCAAAAGTCACAAGAGAAATACTTTTATACATAACAAAGGAGTATTAAAAACAACATTCACATAATTCTAACATATCCATATCTTTAAGTTATTCGTGTATGATACACGCTTTCTAGATAAGTCTTCTCATTGCCTACATGAAATTGTGGAAAAAGGATTCAGAGCAAATAGCTTAAGAGATAAGTCATACACATTTTGGAATTCATTAGGAATATAACAAATTATTTCACCAGTACCAGCTACTGGACATTTAAAATCAGTCACTGCTCTGAAGACAAAAAAAAGAAGAAATTTTTCTAAAATAATTCAATTATTTAAAATAGAAATCAAATGGTCTAGATATCACAGGTGAACAAAATTTCCTTAAATTTAAAGAAAGCTATAATTTGCATTTGGGCTCCAATAAGCTTAACTTACAAAATGACACTTTAGTTAGTGGTCATCATTAATATTTCTATTAAAGTGCTGGGTGTTCCAGAAGTACCTATTCTAAGAGGCATTTCAAAGCCCAGCTTTTTTTTTTTTTTAATTCTACTTGCCCTGATCTCCATAAAGTTAAAAAACAAACAAACCCTGAATTCTTAGGACATTTGTACTAATAGATTTAATGTGAGATGAAACTAGTGTCATAATAAAAATTTTCCATTTTAACAAGAAAGTATGTGTCTCTATTCAATCATTGTGCCTGGAAGCATTCTAAGTACTGCTGACGTCAATGTGGGGCACTAAGAGCCTCGCTATTGTCATCTGCCTTTTGTGTGCCTATTTATTTGCCTTTTACTGTTAAGACTCCTCCATCAACTAGATCACAATTAGAGCAGCAATATCCTAGTAAAGACTGAGAAAGCTTGCTGTTATGATGTATGCATCACATTTCCATTCTTGTTTGACTTTCACTATTACGTTACAACCACCTGCCCAGGGTACAGCCTCTAACTAGGTCATATATTATCATAGGAAACCTTTGAAGGTGTGTAAGTTGCTTTGGAAAATGTTAAGATTTTAAATACTTACATTATTACTCTTATTAGTACACTGTTCAGAAATATAATAGTAAAATTTTTTTTCTGGATGCACCAAGAGCATCTACACAGTCTAAGAATAAAACATGCAGTCGTCTGGTCCCCAAAAGAGAGTCTATGGTCTGTGTGCTGATTGAGACAACACAGAACATGATTGTATCATTATTGCACATATCGCAAGTGTTCACCCTTCATCCAAATCTGAGTAAGTTCAACTGGTAAGAATTGCGGAATCTGGGAACCTAAAAGACTACTCTATATACATACAATGTTTGCTGAACACATCCTTTCCTGCTGAAACAGCAGAGTGCATTCAGCACCACATCATGTCATGCACACAGAGAACAGAGGTGGCTGGAAAAGAATACTGTGATGACCGCACCATTAATAAGCAATTGATACTTTTTCCTCCTTCTTGACAACCTGAAGTAGTTCAAAACCATTATGCTTCTTTCCTACAGATACGAACAATAAATATTGTAGGTCGATTGGGTGAAACTTTTCGTCAACATTAGAACACAATACATATTTGTACCACTAATACGCAAAGGCATGGATTGCGACTTAAAATCACCCTGCTGTTTCACAGTCATTCTCATACAGCTTTATGCCGACTGGTATGGGTTAAGCATGTGGCAACTGACAATTTCTGTACTCAGATTCATTTGACCAATCCTTCACCTTTAAAAGTTTAGCCAAACTTGTCTCCTACATGGTTAAACAAACAGAAAAATACCCTGGAATTCCATAAATGTTAGAGGTCAATAAAAAGATGCCACCCTCGCCATGAAAGCAACGAGATCCCCATTTCAAGTCTGATTCTTTACACCATAGTTGCCTCATTTTCTTGTGCCTGTGGCAGGTAGATAGTGTAGAGACAGCACAGCATGGAAACATGCTCCCCTGAAAACCTCCACTGTTGTTCGTGGAAGTTACGTGCACAAAGAAAGGAAAATGGAACCCATGGCCCATCATATGTGTTCTAAGAATCCGAGTTGAAAGAGGCACATCTGATGGGCATGTGAGGAAGAAATCCTAAAATAGGAACTGTTTTATAAATTACTTTGCTTTGTGTTTCTTCAGTATGATTGTAATAACCTTGTCTTTCAGTTCTGGTAGTTTCTGTTGGGAATGCTGGGAGACAGTTACAAATGCTCATAAGATGCGTGAAATAGACTAAAATACCTCCTTTAATTTTCCTTTCTTTTTTTATATATGATTAACATATATGTACAGATGGTCAAATAATGTACAGATTAGTGGTATATATTTTCAACTTGATGAAAACACTAACTCCACTGCTCCTACTAATGAATGTCATGCATGTACCAATTAAAAATGCCTCTCTGGTTAAATTCATAAAATATACTTCAGTCAAAAGAAAAGAATGGATTCTTCTGGGCTCTCTCCAATGAAGATGTATTTTGTTCTGAATGCATATCATTTAAGGGACTAGCTATATGCAACAACTTTTCTTAACAATTTTTTTAGCTAATAATAGGCACTTTCTAAGAAGAGGATTTGCGACCCAAAAGACTATGAGATTCAGTCTTTAGTATCCCACTTTCGTTTAAGTGGATCTGCCTGAGCTACAGCAGTCTATTGTATCAACTCAGCAGAAGTCCAGCAGTAGAACTGTGTGCAAAAAAGCTTTAGAAAATTGTAACCAGAATAAAATTATAGAAAAGCACTTATCTGAGTTAAGCAACTTAACATCTACTGGTGTTTTGTTTGTTTGTTTGTTTTTAATTACCTTTCATGTATTGTCTTTACTAACAGTAAGAATCATGTGTGAACAATTCCATACCTGTGTTTCATTCTTTCTAAGTTACAGATATGCTAGAAATACTTGTTTAGCTGTTTACATTCTTTTTTTATTTATACCATAATAGTTAAATTTTTTATATGTTTACTTAAATTTTTTGTTTGTTTCTTTGCTAAGAGCCTTTCAACTTCACCCTTGAACAAGTTTTGGAAACACAAATTTAGAACAGTCATCACTGTTGGAAAATCAGCATCTCTAACATGAATTATTAAAAGGCCCTAATACCCTGTTTCTATAATAATATACACTATATTAATAGTTTAGTGTTCATGGTATTGAAAAAGTCAGCTTACAAGATGGCAGCTGTTCTCCAAGGTGGAGGGAGTAGGGATTTCCTTACGTAAGAGTTAATGACTACTATCTAGGTATAATGTTAAAAAAGGAGAGGTATAGTTGTGAGAAAATGCAGCTCATGCACAAAACCCATAGCAATAAATTCTCAGTATCCCACACTGCTATCTGGCTTAGGCAACAAAACAGATCATTTAAATGGAGCAAACACCATCTGTAGGGGAAAATAATCTAACACTAAAGTTTCAGAAAAATATCCTATGGAAAGAGATCCTAAAATGGTACTAACAGTTTAAAATGCTGAACTCTTCCTTGGCATTAATCAATAATTTAAACTTAACAGAACAGCGAGAAAATGACAGTTTGATATACTCAGCCTGAGATCAAATTTGTCATGGCAACATTGGCAGGTTGGACCCTGATTCTTCAAATAGTACATTGCCTTGGATAACAAAAATCACCCTTTTTAATTATAGAATAGAGATTATAAATAAATGTCAAGTGTGCATGCAGTCAACTGCATAATATACAAGCAGTATCTATAATTTTAATAATTATCTTCTTTGGCAGGCCAGAATCCAGCTGGACATGCAATATTTACATATCAAAATCCATATTGTGTTCGTCATATTGAAAGCAAGTGAAAATATATATATGTATATACTGTATATACACACATGTATATAGATGTATATACTGTTTTAATATATTAACAAATATATATGTATATATTAAAAGTGGATTTCATCTTTGTCAGACTCAGGTGACTCAGGCCTTGAAACACTAAAAATATCCTGACATGGTATTTGGGGAGGTACTTGGAGTGGCATTTGAGATTTGGGAGAAGAGGTCTGGGGCACACTTTTTTCTGAGAGTATTTTTAAAATTTCTGCCACCTGCTTTTCCAGGGCAGTCATTCTGCAGCTTAGCAGCTGAATGTCCTCTTTGAGTTCATGTTTGACTTCCTGCAGTGTGGTTTGTAAGGCCTGTTCGGGGATGGGATAAAACGGGTGCTTGGCATCAGCCTGAATGGGACTGTGCTCTAATGGACTTCGTGCCTCACCAGCATTATCCAAACGAAGGTCACTTTTTGTAATTCCACTGTCACAAGAATCTGTTTTCCTTAATGGGTTTTTGGTCACACTGTTTTCTGAATCGCTACCCTTGGGGTCCTCTGACAATAGCCCCATGGACTCAGCTTTGGTGACATTATTCCAGTCTTCTTTTTTCTCCTCATGGGTTCCCATATTATTCTTGAGTCTCAGCCACCCCTTTCCATTTCCATTTTTCATTCTTATTGGGCTGCTGACTTTGAGACATTTTTGGTCAGCACCACCATTGGGCTTGAGTTCCATGGCATCACGGTTGTTTTGCTTGAGCGATTCACTGGTTTTCACATAAGCCAGAGATGTCTGGATGGGTGTGATCTGCGACACAGTCACCACACTGGTGCCAGTGATAGAGGCTCCATTCTGTAAGGAGCGGCTTTCTACCTGCAGTTGGTTCCTCTCGGGGTCACTCTGCGTTGATCCCTGATTCCGTAGCTCCTTTTGCTGCTTGAACTTCTGGAAGAGCTTTCTGACTGGGTGGTCCACAGGGATGCTGAGTGTTACTTCATTCTTCTGCCTGAGCCGCTCCTCCTCCTCCTTCTTCACATCACTGATCTTACGGAAAATGATCTGTGAAGGAGGAGAGAGATTCAAAATGAGATTTTAAAAACAGATCGTTTTATAATTGTGTGATTCTATATCGAATGTACAAAGTATGTATCAAGTAAATTGGAAGTTGTCAAAAATGAAATGGAATGCTTGAAGATCAAAATTCTAGGCATTAGTGAGCTGAAATGGACTGGTATTTGCCATTTTGAATCAGACAATCATATGATCTACTATGTCAGAAATGACAAATTGAAGAGGAACAGAGTTGCATACATCATCAGAAAGAACGTTTCAAGATCTGAAGCTGTCAGTGATAGGATAATATCCATACGCCTACAAGAAAGACAGTTAATATGACTATTACTCAAATTTATACACCGAACACTAATGCTAAAGATGAAGAAATTGAAGATTGTTAACAACCTCTGCAGTCTGAAATTGATCAAACATGCAATCAAGATGCATTGATATTACTGGTGATTAGAATGCAAAAGTGGGAAACAAAGAAGGATTGGTAGTTAGAAAATATGGCCTTGGTGATAGAAATGATGCCAGAGATTGCATGACAGAATTTTTCAAGACTAATGACTTATTCATTGCAAATACCTTTTCTCAACAATATAAACGGTGACTATACACGTGGACATCGCCGGATGGAATACACAGGAATCAAATTGACTAAATCTGTGGAAAGAGACAATGGAGAAGCTCAATATCATCAGTCAGAATAAGGTCAGGAGCCAACTGTGGAACAGACCATCAATTGCTCATATGCAAGTTCAAGTTGAAGCTGAAGAAAATTAGAATAAGTCAATGAGAGCCAAAGTACGACCTTGAGTATATCCCACCTGAATTTAGAGACCATCTTCAGAACGGATGTGATGCATTGAACACTAATGAGTGAAGACCAGGCGAGTTGTGGAATTACATCGAGGACATCATATATGAAAAAAGCAAAAGGTCATTAAAAAGTCAGGAAAAAAAAGGACCAAAGTAGATGTCAGAAGAGACTCTGAAACTTACTCATGAATGTAAGAAATGATGAAGTAAAAGAGCTGAACAGAAGAGATTTCAAAGAGTGGCTTGAGAAGACAAGGTATAGTATTATAAAGAAATGTGAAAAGACAAGTTAGAAAACAAAAGGGGAAGAACATGCTCAGCATTTCTCAAGCTGAAAGACTGAAGGAAAAATTCAAGCCTCAAGTTGCAATATTGAAGGATTCCACTGGAAAAAGATTGAACAACATAGGAAGCATCAAAAGCAGCTGGAAAGAATACACATAGTCACTATACCAAAAAGAATTGGTCAATGTTCAACCATTTCAGCACATAGTAGATGATTAAGAACCGATGGTACTGAAGGAAGAAATCCAAGCTACACTGAAGGCACTGGGGACAAACAAGGCTACAAGAATTGATGGAATACCAATTGAGATGTTTCAAGAAACAGATGCAATTGCAGAAATGCTTATTCATTTATGCCAAGAAATCTGGAAGACAGTTATCTGGCCAACCAACTGGAAGAGATCCATACACATGCCTATTCCAAAGAAAGGTGATCCAACAGAATACAGAAGTTATCAAAAAATATCATTAATATCATATGCAGGTAAAATTATGCTGAAGATAATTAAAAAATGGTTGCAGCAGTACATCAACAGGGAACTTCCAGAAATTCAAGCCAGATTCAGAAGAAGATGTGGAACAAGGGATATCATTGCTAATGTCAGATGCATCTTGGCTGAAAGCAGAGAATACCAGAAAGATGTTTACCCGGGTTTTACTGACTATGCGAAGGCATTCGACTGTGTGGGTCATAACAAATTATAGATAACATTGCAAAGATTGGGAAGTCCTGAACACTTAATTGTGCTCATGTGGAACCTGTACATACTTGAAGAGGCAGTTGATTGAACGAACAAGGGGATACGGCATGATTTAAAATCAGGAAAGGTGTGAGTCAGGGATGTATCCTTTCGCCATACTTATTCAATCTGTATGCTGAAAAAACAGTCTGAGAAGCTGGACTATATGATGAGGAACATGGCATCTGGATTGGAGGAAGACTCATTAACAACCTGCAATATGCAGATGATACAATCTTGCTTGCTGAAAGTTAAGAGGACTTGAGGCACTTACTGATGAAAATCAAAGACCACAGCCCTCAGTATGAATTACACCTCAACATAAAGAAAACAAAAATCCTCACAACTGGACCAAAAAGCAACATCTTGATAAACAGAGAAAATACTGAAGTTGTCAAGTATTTCATTTTACTTGGAGCCACAATCAACACTCATGGAAGCAACAATCAAGAAATCAAACGATGCATTGTATCGGTCAAATCTGCTGCAAAAGACCTCTTTAATGTGTTGAAAATCAAATATGTCACCTTGAGGACTAAGCTGCACCTGACCCAAGCCATGGTATTTTCAATCGCCTCATATGCATGTATAAGTTGGACAACAATTAAGGAAGACCAAGGAAGAACTAACGCATTTGAATTATGGTGTTGGCAAAGAATACTGAATATACCATGGACTGCCAGAAGAACAAACAAATCTGTCTTGGAAGAAGTACAGCAAGAATGCTCCTTAGAAGCAAGAATAGTGAGACTTTGCTTACTTTGGACATGTTATCAGGAGATACCAGTCCCTGGAGAAGGACATCATGCTTGGTAAAGCAGAGGATCAGTGAATAAGAGAAAGACCCTCAAGGAGATTGCTTGACACAGTGGCTACAACAATGGGCTCAAACTTAGCAATGATTTTTAGGATGGCCCAGCAGATAGTGTTTCGTTCTGTTATACACAGGGTCGCTATGAGTCAGAAAGAACTCGTTGGCACCTAACAACAACAGCAACATACCCAATGTACTTTGTTTTACAGAAGAAAACCTTAAATGTATTATAAGATCATTTCTGAAGGAATAGAAATATTTCAATGCCCTATAGCAGATGCGATATACCTAAAACCCAACCTAGGAACATTGACTAAGCTTAGTTCTAACAGTTGCCATTCAGTTGCTTCTGACTCAGGGAGACTGCATGTGTTTCCGAGTAGAACTACATTTTATAGGGTTTTCAAGGCTGTGATCTTTCAGAAGTAGATCATCGGGCGTTTCTTCCGAGGCCACCTGTGGGTGGATTCAAACCACCAACCTTTTGGTTAGTAGCCAAAAGTAGTAACAGTTAACCACTTGCACTAGCCAGAGCTCCTAAGCTTAGTTCCACTCCCTTACATACCAGAGGAGGAATATAGTTAAGATAGAACTGATAGAAGTATTTCGCTTTCTGTTTTATGTTCCCATTTAGTAGGAAATATGTATATGGGTAAATAAATGTATATACATATGTGTGTGTCTATTTCTGTGTATATTAAATTTCCTTATAAAACATCACTTTTTTTTTTTTGGACATTTTTCCCTTTTTGTATATAATTATCATTCAAGACCATTTTCATATCATCTCCTATTTAGGGGTCATATAGTAAAAATTCCTTGCTCTAAATATACTTGATAGAGCTTACCAGCATGGTACCTGGATGGTGGAAGAGAGCATACTGAAAAGTTAGACAGTTTACCAACATAGTACTTTGGTTGGGGTGGTTAAATTCATTTATGTGACCCCAAAGGGAAGAAGTAGATCAATAAGTAAAACTTTCTGGGAAGCAAATACCAGCCCTATATACAGACTTCATTTCAAACTACTGCTATCTATTAACTGAATAAACGACTTTGAAAGCTGATGAATCTCACACTACTAAAATATTCAAATAGAAGTAAAGATATTATCTATGTGATACTTGTACTGAGTGGGAAGCTGGACTCTTCTAATTCCAAGATTCTTTAAATTTTAAATATAAAGTTAAATATATAGTGCATATGAGGTTAGATGGGCATCCACAAACAAAAAAGCCTAATTTTATTAGAAATGTGTTTTGAAAACAGTATCAGAAGAATTTATTACAACTTCATTAAGAGAAATTAAAAATGTTGGCTATGTAAGAAATTGCCCTTTATATTATCAGAGGTAGACATTAATTTAAGCGTGAAACATTTGCTCAGAGTCCTTCTGAAAGAAAAAAAAAAACTAACTACAGGTGTGAATATTGTAAAGAAAATTCAAAGAGAGTTATGTTATAAAGCACTTTCAGAACCAATTTTATGATTCTGGCAAAACTACTTACCTGCATCAACCTCTTACATTAAGTTGTTGTTTAAATTAGAAATATATGCAAAACACATAGTCCCCGGCATGTAAAAAACACTGAAAATTTAGTTCTCCACCCTTGAAGTCTTTTAAAATATTTTCTGTTTGAAACCATTTTCATCACCTTTTGAAGATTCAGCAGCTTCCAGGAGTAACAGACAATCATTGATTTTACACCAGAAACCAATACTAATGATGGTCATTGTGAACCAAAAAGTCAGAGAGAGAGTAATCCTCCATCTAGGTAATGGCAAGTTTTCTAAATTGAGATTGATGTGCTGAATACAGCTTATCAAGTGGTATTCACTCATATTTTAAAATAAATACACTCTAAATTCAATAACTATCTATCTGTACAACCCAGAATATTTTTCCCTTTCTAGTGACACATGAAATTGGATCTTTTTTAAGGATGTAACACTCATCTTGAAGTCTGACATAAAAGCTCCAGCAATTTAATTAGAAGTCTTTTAAAGGTTTGACATATTTCTTGAGCTTCCAAAGTAAACAGATTCTATACTAAGCCTTCAGAATATTTGCACTCTCTTGGACAGTACCAGACCCAACCACAGAAACAGATACTATTTTCCTATGTCATCCAATTACACTGAAAAGACACTCAGTTTAGTTCTACAGACTGAAATGAAGGCCTAATGTAAATGATTGGCCACATTTCCCTCCCTACCCATCTTTTTTTTTTTTTTAAAGTAGATTCTTTGTCTTGGATCTACATAGCTTTGGTCCAATATAGTAATTGAGATTAGTCTTCACATTTGGGAGAAAGATCTACTTTAACGTATCATTGTAGGAG